ATGAAGGTAATGCTGCTTCCCAGAGGGACCGCCATTCAGAATTTAGAAAGGAAAACTGCTAGCCAAATAGGATTTCTTGTGAAGCAACATATTCTGCATAACTTTATGACAGTCACTAACTACGACAGGTAATCAGACGGGTACATGGGTAAGTCCAAAATTCACTGATTTTGCATGTCTTAAAAATGTACATTCTGAGAAATACAGAAGCAACAAACAAGGAAAAAATGAGCATTGATAATAAATTTGAAACATACGACTAGTTGGTGAAAATCTGAATCAGTTTAAATATGCATTAAAGCCCCACTAAGACTTCAACTCCAGCATTTCGTTAAGTAAGTGCGGGGTATTCCAATAGTTTTTGCAAACAAAATGAAGGGAAAAAAAAATAATAATACAACCCTAAGAATAGGCCGAATATTTTTAAAAATATTTTGCTTTTGATAGTGTTTGACTAGTTAAAATTCATTAAAATTCATTAAAATTAACAACCTTGTCTCTGTGTTCACAATAATCGACGTGTTGATATGAACAAGGTGACAAATGAAACTAAATGTTCCAGAAAAGTTCAACAAAATCCAAAAAGCCAACATCATGAAACAACTATGGACAAACAGGAAAGTCTAGATTGTAAGACTCAATTAAAAATGTAATCGGTCAGAACTCTGACCTAGGGGAAAACCAGAATTGGTAATCCCAAAACTCTTAGAATGTCTAATAAAGCCAAAAAAGTGTAGAGAAACCAGTGTATTTACAAGTGGTAGATACTAGTGTTTCTAGAGAAGCTAACTTTACTGGGCAAAACTGGATCTATCAAAAAATATAGCGAGTTCAGTTAATTGGAAAGATACTGGCCAAACCAAGCAGACATACTCAATAAACGGGAAAGAGCTTAATCTCGTCTAGTCCACACGCTTAGAAAAGAGAAGGTTTTTAACAGAAGGATGGACTTAAATAGCAGAAAACCAATTCTGATGGAGTTTCTGGAAATGCAGATGAACTGCGTAGCAAACGAACCAGCAAGTCCATCTGTACCACGCTGTATGCTAATGCCTGTAGGAGTCATGACATAATTGCTGGCTGCTTACTTTATAAATGAAATTGCGTAGTTGATTAGGTTCCTTGCGGACTATTTTTACGTTCCCTGAGAAAATTCTGTAGACTGAAGGAGACAAGATACCTCAGCAGAAGATTTCAGAGGTCTGTCTGATACAAGAAAAATCCCGTGTTCCTTTTAGAGAGAACAAATGTGAACAGTGCAGTGACACAATGACAGACATTAGGAGTAATATCCTACGTAGAGTTGGTAGGATTTCGGTGACACAGAAAGTGGAAAACCGTAATAAGGTGACATCCTGGTTAATAATTCAAAATGTAAAAAAGAAAGGTAATCGTTCATGACTGGAAGTTCACAATACAGGAAGATTTGTACAGACTTGGAATTTAAGCAGGCAAAGAGGGAAGTGGGTTCTGGTTAGATATACCTACAAATAAAAGACGAGGTACACAAATGTAAAAATACGTTAATTAGTTTTAAAGGGAAACAGAAGGGTAACAAATGAGAGCACTATATCTAGCGTATCAGGTGAGAGTTGTACAACCATTTTACGTGCTGTCTAGCTTACTTCTTTAAAGGAAAGCAAGCAGCTCTGTTCACACACAGGAGTCCCATCCCCACTGTCCAAGCAGAAAACAAACAAGGGGTCCTTCTTCCACGTTTCTAATCGTTTTCAGTCTCTTGCTCCTGTAGAAGGCATGATGAAGCGCGTGGCGACAGAATACGAAGTGCATAGCCAAAATCACGTGATTCAGAGATCCATGCGGATAGGAAGAGTAGAGGAAAAAATGTAGGGAAATAAGAGTGTTCTGAAGTTGTTCAACAACTGATAAGCGTGCTGATAAGCAGAGAAGTCATAGACAGATGCTCATGTAGGTGGCTGCCTGGAAGCACACGCAGAGTGCACGATGCACAGAACACGCTGCCAGAACGTGGGACGGGAGACACCGGCATCAACTGGATACACACATCATACCTATCCTGGGGTCCTCAGGTGACATCTGGGGGAAACTCCACTTTCGGAATTGCCGTAGCCGCCTCAGACTTCAAAGCTTGAACTACGTACAGCGCTTAAGGACACCACTGGTGCTCTTCATGCTTTTCTCCATCTGTACAGTGCTGGAGCGGGTTTGCCCAATGTCTCGCTGACACTTCTTGGGAGCTTCCAGGAAAACAGAACACCAAAACCAAAATATTCATTAATTATTGGCTGGAATGGATAAATATTTTTTCTGTTTCACTTCTGAGTGCGCTGTAACTCACTTTTATTACGTTATCCTAAAAGCCCATTGTAGTGGGTAGTGCCGGCAAGGAAGGCAGAAGTTGAGAGTCAGAAACAAACGATTTTTCCCAGTTTTGACAAAATAAATCTCTAGCCTAGATTTTTATGTATATGTATCTGTATATATACTTGTGTGTATCTCAAGCAACAATAAGGACTTGCGTCCTTGTGGAGCTGTGGAGTAACTATCTCTCAATTACATACTTGTATAGCTACTCGTATTCTGAAACGTCAATTACATACTTGTATAGCTATTTGTATTCTGAAATGGTTAGGCTGTTCCTCTGTACTTGCATGCATTTCAAAGGCGGGTTTAGACTAAACGCTTCCACAAATGCCATACACAAATACAGAGATACTCAGTAATTCTCTATTATCGGATGCAAAGTGACTGGCGTCTGTGGCCGTGGCTAAGTATGGGTGTAGAACTCCGCCGGGACAGGACCCGTGCATGCCGTGGCTCTGTTGTTGATACGACCCTGTGTGTATTCCTTGTGTCACGATTCAGTCTGCTTAAAGAGGCGGATAAATTAAGCAGACTTTGTTAACTCAAAGGCTGCATTTTGAAACCAAGTCCTTCAACTTTAAGATGGGGACGCATTAAAAAAAAACCATCTCATTTTAGTCATCTTCCAAGGTCACTAATTTCACTTTAATGACAGGCTCCAATTGAAAGAAAAGTCTAAACTCATGAGAACTTAAAGACAAAGCTAACCATCTACTGTGTTGGGTGTTTAATCCCTCCACACGTGCCAACACCAGAGACAAGCCCTCCTTTCCCGTTACTCATATCGTGCAAAGATTTCCTTTCTAAGTGATTATTACTCGTTTAGGTGATACGCGGGGCACCGCGTCCTGAACTGCGAGTCACCAACACCTTGCTCGGCAGGGACTTTTTTCTATGTGATCCCGTGCCTATCGGTAAATTTGCATTCATAATCTTTTATGCTGCGTCTCTTCCAGAGTGGTTCCCACCTTTCCCTTCCTGCAGCAAGTCCTGCTCCCTGAAAAGGCACATCCTGCGCAACTGACTTCCACGTTAACACAAACTGGGGAGGGCAAAGGGGAAGTTGGTTGTTTGAAAAAAGAAACTCAAAATTTACAAAGCAGCTGCCAATTAGCCAGACCTTAATTTTGCAAATTTATTTAGGAAAAAAAAAATTAACATGAGCAAATGAGAATACTTCAGTGTTACAACAGAGTATATAAATGTCTAGCAATAGTCAAATAATTTGATTTTTAAATACAAAATAACCACATGAACACCTAATATACAGGTTTCATCTGAATACATATTTATTAGATAAATATTAGGTTGTCACATCATCTAACTACATACAGTTTTGCAAGACTAAAAATCACAATTATTTTTTCTGACCAGTTTAAAGTATGAAATGATTGCATTGTACTGTACATACAATGTACAAACAAAGACGATGGCCATTTTTGCATGTTACTTCAAATTGTACTTTTTTTTTTTTAATTCTCCTCTGATTGTGATATCAAAAATTGTACAAAGTATGAATGGTTACAATTACAATTTTTTTTAATCCCCTTATTTTTCTTCATTTTTTCTGTAGCACCCTAAAAATACACAGGTGATAGACTAGTACACGTAAGCTAAATATTACATGTAGATAAAACAAAACAAAACAAAGGATCAGAGTATATTACAGAAGTGAAAGTGAAACAAATGCTGAGACTCCACAAACGCTAACAAACAGGATTCATTTTCCACATAAGATGGAGCTTCAAGCTTTTTTTTTTTCCTGCGAAATAAAAACAATGCACATTCCAAGGAAAATGAATGCATTTCTGTTAACATGTCTCTATTTGTCATTTACATATGTACAGCTGTCCCTTGAGTCTCCGCTGCAGACATTGGCGTGTATCTGTCAGTCCTATAATAATGTCTTGGCAGCAGAACTGTAGATCTCTGTGGGTTCTTTCCCAGATGAACTTCCATAGGGAAACAATTAAAAAGTAAACAAACAAAAAAAGAAGAATAAAAATACTACTGAAATTTCAAATGATAATTAAGCTTTAAAAGAAATGACTGTGATTACCCTATTTGCTAGGTTTTTTTCTCTAAACTTTAATAGGGCAGTGAACAGATAAAAAAATAACTAAATTTTCATTTAGAAGCTTTTTCATACTGACTCCACTATACAGTACCTGATTTTAGCTGACACATAAGCTCTAAAACTGTCTCAAATGTCCAACATTTGGGTGATGGGTAAAAATCGTATTTTCTCTCTTAAGTTCTGCTCAGAAACCAAACGTTTCTGTAAGCTTAAAAATGTCAACCGTCCACTTTAATTCTCTATTACTGTACAAAGCAGATGCAAACACTGCTCCAAACATATTGCTAATATCTACGGGGTTTGTTTTTCCCTTTATGCTTTCCAACAGGTACTTTTAAATGATACGTTTTAAATACTACCAGTTAGCAAAAGGTCAATCCTTAACATACCGGGTTTAAAATACTAATGTTGTGTTTAAGAGAAAAAATCATTTCAGGTGACTAACTGAGCTGCTCAGGAATCAGTGGAGGGTGGAACATTAAATAGAATCAATTAGAAAAATCTGAGCAACCAGTTCCAACTAATAGTGGGAAATCTTTATTCCCAAACCTATGGCTTAAGAAACCCTCCCCAAAACCCCCAAACTCTAAGGGCATAAAGTCAGTTTATCATTAGCCGCCCCTGCAAATGATTTCAATACCTACATAAACAACGCAGCAAAAACACAGGGGGAAACTACTACGGTAAAATGGCTACAAAACACATCTGTAACTGAAGAACGGTCTTTCCTAGGAACTGTGTGATAGCGGCACCACACCACAACCATATTACCATGTATTACACCAAGGTATCTTTAATATTCTGCAGAGATCCTCTACAGGTTGTCAAGCCTACATAAGAAAAAAGACACTTCTAAGCAGAATAAAATATACTATACTGTTTCCCTCCCCCACCCACCAACATCCCTAAGTGTTACAGCGCCCCAGCTTCAGGGACCGGAGCACCAGTACAGCGATATAAATACGGTACCTTACGTACGTCCTGCTTGCCTTAGCGCGTCTTTACCTGTTCAGACAGCTGGTCCTAGGTGTTCTGCTCGCCTCGGGCAAACGAACATCGTCTCTGCCATTACCAGCCCACAATCACCCACGGTCGATGAACACCGGTCGGTTAGTTGGGGTTTTATTTTTTTTTTGCCCTAGGCAATCACTTATTATTATGTTTCCACGACAGAGCTGGGCCCCGATTGTCCAGGTACTGCCTGATGTATCAATTCATTCATCACATAAACGGATACGAAATTTGGGCTAATTTATCAAAAGAAAACGGGGGGAAAAAAAGAAAAAAAAAAAACAACTCCCTTACTCTGTTAAAGAACCCTCATTTTTCTTTTTTAAAAAAGGACCCATATTTTTCTTCAGACAAGGTATTTAAAAACACCAGCAAAAGTATAACCAGATCATGAAAATGTTGAATATTATCAAAGACGATACTAAAATATTCACAAAGATATTTACAATAGCAATTCTTAAAATAATTGATTTTGCATAATGAACAGCGCCTTTCTTAAAAAAACTCGAAACAGGAAAAATATAAGTGTGGGACCATCTCTACATAATATGTTTGACAGATTCAATACTCCTACTGGAAAATAAAAGAACTAAACCGCCATTTCCTTTAATATCTACAGCAAGGTGCTGCTGACTAGCATATATATATCATGACGCATGTACAGCAGTAGTGGGAAACGTTAACAAAAAGAGCAAAATAAAACAAAAACCGCAAAGAATTTACAAATATGACTTTGGTGAGGAACGCAAATCCAGAGTCGTAAGCACAGAGCATGCCATTTACAGCATCGCAAACTAAACACAGAGGGCTAGGAAGCTATCTAGTCAAACCGACGGGAACAAACCAAATTTTGCCTGGCACTTCAGTTTAAAACGTATTGTGGCGAGCAAACGAAGGGTGTTTGATTGGATCTGGGACGAGGAAAAGGAGTAGGGTCAAATTTGCTTTAGTAACAAAAAGAAAGGAAACCGATAACTGTACAGTGGGCAAAAGCTGAAATGTTGCACCACAAGGGCAAAGTTGGCACACATGCACTTCTTACACAGCTACTGTACATCATTTATAAGAGAGAAAGAGAGAGAGAGACAAAGAGCACAGAAATGGGCACAGAAGCAATAGGAAGCTCATGCAGGAGCAGCAATCACACGAGAAGCACAGATCACAGGGGCAAGACAGTGATTGTGGCAGCAGGGTCTCTTGAGGGCAGTAGCAATCTACCGACAGTTACTTATTCTCCCCATGCCCGGTCCTTCAGGAGAAAGAGCTCATCCCGGTAGCCAAAGTTTAAAAAAAGAAACCGAAGGAGGAGAAAAGAAAAAGGCTGAATTATCTGTAACAGTCACGAAAACAGAACGCAAAGCAAAACAAAAATGAAGCCGTAAGGTGTCTGTCCAATGTCAATGCCCCTTCTCAAGCCGATTATTAAAAATAATTATGCAGATAGCGATGTTACTCTCCCTCCATCCTGCAATGATCTCCTGGCTGCCTTCAACCCAGCTTGTCTTACTATGTATTGTGCAGTACAGACAGTGACACCAACGCTCGGGGCACCGAAGGCTGTAGGTAATAATCAGGAACAGTTTGGTTTGCATCCCCCCTCCCTCTCTTTTCCATTCCGTACGACATACACAGCAAAAAGATCTATTACAGCAATCTCAACAGCTGGATGTTAACGCAGCCACAAATGGTACCGATTTGAAACCAAAACCACAAAAAATCCCTAAACCTTGCAAACTTTTTTTTTTTTTTTAAATTTTTCCTGGGTGTTTCCAATCTGTGTGTTTGGCCAGAGGAACCCTCTGCAAAGAGGTGGCTAAGATTCCTGCGCTTGCAGAAATACCAACACCCACGGCTGCAGCCTGGAGATTCTCAGGACTCCGCTACTGAAGTCGCATTAGCTAAACTGCTGGCTCCCTCTGACGGGCCTGTATGTCTTCCCTATCTTTGCCACTCGACTGTAGGATTTGTGCTTTTTTGAGCTTTGTACGTGTTTTTGTTTTTCTTTTTGTGTGTGGCCAGGACAATCGCTCCAACGCAAACCTGTGGTTGGAGGGGGGCAGAGGGGAGGTGGGGTGGAGGGAGATACAGTTTCAAAAAAATGGAAGAACACGCGTTGGAAGGACACTCTGAGACGGGTCAATTAAAGACAGTTCCATTTTGTTGCCTTTTCTTCCCTTGCCAAGATTCGTTTTTGCCAAGATACTTCACACTATGTTTATCACAGAACTCTCTCTCTAGAGGATGAACAACAAATGGGGTTTCCAATAGCTGCACAACTGTCTATGCTTCTTTGTCACGTGTAGCACGGCAGACTCGGAGATTACTGCATTTATTTGTTTGTTTTTTTTGTATTTTTTTCCTCCCATCACTTTCGCAGTCTTTGAAGCTGACTAAAGCAGTTCTGAGATGAAGAAAGCAGGGAGTGCACCATTGGATCAAGTTGTGAGTTTTTTTTCTTCTCTTGTGGAAAAGGAGTGTTAAGATTCCTCGCTGTGCAGCCACACACATGTGAACAAGTGCAAGGGATGGGAGAATACATATGGTTTCAGTTGTTCTCAAAGAGAGACAGAAGGTCATCATTGCTATTGCTTGGCAAATCAGGAGGATCCAGGTACGAAAGCAGCTCATCTGGATTTGTGAGTTCTGGAAGCAGCTATAAAATATAAAGATAAAAGGAAAATTACAGATAACAGAAACACAATTGAGAAAAAAAGGGATTAAACACCACACATTCCTGGAAACCGGCTTTCATATGTACACATCCAAATAAATCGGAAGGCAGCGACACAAACCTAACACCCTAAGATGATGCAGTATCCGCTTGTTCGTGAAAGTCTGTATTACTCAGTTCACACCTGTGAATTACATCACCACCTCAGTTAGGGTTTCTCAATCAACCTCCCCCTCACAAAGTTCATCAATAAACAAAGTGTATTTCCTGGCTAGCGATGCTGACAAAACTTCTCGATAAATGCTCGTTATGTATGTTAGTTTCATATACGACACTGAATAAAAACTTGAAACATGCAGTTTGAGTAATATGTATTTGAGCTGTAAGGTAGATCAGCAAAGACTGGTCTGTCTGACTCGCACATGTCAGCGTGACGATCACCCGAAGCCTGCATCCCTACAGAAAGAGGCAGCCCTGTCCTCTCCTCACCCCTCAGTCACCCCCCCTAACGCCTCTGTGCGCCGATGTAAGCTCTGGGGCAGTGAGCTGGAGCAGGGAACTCACCCAGGGTTACAACTACACGAAAAGAGAGGAGGGGGGGGGGGGGGGGGGAAGAAAGAGGAAAAAAAACAACTGAGGGGGAGTACGGGGAGAGGAGCGGCAAGGCAGGCGGGCGAGCCCTTCTCCTTTCTGTGGCAGTGAGTTTACAGCGGTTGGAAGTACTTACTCCGCTACAGCATTACGTGCAATTCCAGAGGCTCTAAAGGGTCGGGGCATAACACCCCATCCAACAGAAGATGCACCAATCTCCACAATGTTTTAAAGTATCAACAGGAATAGCTGTGGGGGGTTTATTTATATTTTTATTAATCCTGTGTATAAAATAGAAAATTTTGTTTTTCCAACCATCACTCAGATTCTTTTTGATCTGACAGATAACAAGCAAATGGTAAACTCCTGGGTTGTGTACCAGGCAATGTTTTCTGCTTTATTCTGCATCTTGCCACATCCTAGTCAAAAGTAAAAGCGTCACATATAAAAAACGGCAGGGAAGAGTTTGTAATAAACTCCCTTTATATTCAGAGTTGTGTTAAAGCAAAGACAGAAAAACATGGACTGCTTTAACAAACTTAATAGTAGGTATGAGAAATTCATTTTAAGTTGCGCTGTTTTCAAATACTATAAAACTAAAAGCTTGACTGCATCACATTTAGCATGCAAATATTGTATTTATATGCTTCTATTACTCCTGTGCAAACGCAGCTTCATCTTCTAATGCTATACGGATGAACGTATTTTTCAATAAGCTAAACATGAAATGCACAAAGAAGTTTATTACTTCCTAAGCATTTTGAAAAAAATGCAATGTCAAGTTTACATAAACAGACTCTCCCAGAAGGAATGCAATTCTTAAAATACCGCCTCCTTTTATTCATGGTAAAAATGCTATTGTCATAGGACTAGACTAAAGATACAAGGCTTTTAAATGTATTTCACCCGCTACCATAATTTTTCACGAATACCTAGCACAGAAGCACAAACGAAAACTGTGGCCCCACCAAACGCATAGAAAGTAAAAAATGGTTGAATTTCTCTTTCAATTTTACAACTCAATTCTTAAAAATTTAACGTAATGTCTCTGAGACTCATTCTTGTATACAGGGGATTTTTTAAAAATTTTTTTTTAGGCAGGTGAAAGTTTTAAACAATATGCTCAGTATCTCTGAAGATTAAGTCTTCCAAGTTTTGAGGGTGACCTCGGCTTGCCTCGGTCAGGGGGGCCAGGCAGCACAGCCTGCCTCCTGCCCAGCTGGTGTGAAAACCAGAGACCTCAGACAGGACTTGCTGGGCGTTGAGGGTGCTGTGCTGGAGCAGAGGCAAGAGACGGAGGAGCGCCGGGGGCTGCGAGGGGGGATGGGGGGAGAAGCTACGCGAACGTGCTCGACTGAGGGGCAGAATTTGGAGAGGTGCACCCAGTGCTCCTGAAGTGAATACTTGAGAGGTCTAACCAGTCATTTGAGTCTTGTGCCTCTGCTGTCTGAGGTACAAGTGCAGATCACCTGTATCTACATCCGTGTCTATATATACACGAGGTATATCCTTTAACCCGGGTTAAACCTTAGACTGCATCACAATGAAGTCCTGAAGAATTAATGTGACTGTGTCAGCAGGGAGCGGACCAAGTTGCCCGTGGTACAGTCCCCCTGTTTGGTTTGCCGCACAGGACGTTATTCGGCCTGGGTGCACAACACAGCCACTGAGAGTTAAACCCATTAAAATAATCCATCTGATCACGACTGAGCTCACAGGTATTTCAAAGAGCCATACTCCCCACACTGGACAGCACTTGCCTTCTCATTTAGCTAAGATAAATTTCAGCCTCCCATTAAGAATCCAGCACGCCTCCATCAGTGGTAACCACGGCACTGTGATAAATGTACAGGTTTTTCTACTTTGCTTTTCACCGAGGAACGAGTGCCTGACCTGCAACAGCATACTTTATGTTGCTTAAATATTTGACGAAAAAAAATGACATTTTTATTTCACCTATTAATATTGCTCATACGGGGTCCTTAAGGGTTCAGAACTCTAATTGCCACATGAACTATCGTTCCCAAAGGATGTGCACGTGACCGTGTTGTGTGAAATAGCAGCACTCTGGTTCTGATAGAAGTTACTCCACTGAGCACTGTTCCTGTAACTGGAGCATCCATCCCTCCCCTCTGCGAGGCTACCTGCCGCGGCACAGTGCTCGTGTGTGACAGGGAAGACGTAAGTATACAGCAACAGTAAATACAGATGTAAATCCGAGGCACAGAGGTGAGCATTTCTCCAAGAAAATTACACTGCGCAGCAGCAGACTTTGGAACAGACAGAAGATACACATACGGGAACGCACGACTCAAACGAAAATCCAGTCCTAGTGCTAAGGAATTTATATTTCGGGAAGTAGGTGGTTAACCAGAGAGATACCTCAGATAATTCACTTCCGACCCCACTGAATGGATGGCAAGAGACAGAAGATTACTTTTGGCCTTAAAACTAGGTTTGTTTAGTTGTGAGCTGCCTCCCACAGTGGCTAAGGAGGCAGAAGACGTCCTTCTTGTTTATTTTCCTATGTGGCGTACCGGGAGGAAGAACTTGAGCTGCTGAGCTACCTGCATGAGCCGGCATGGATGGGCACAGCCTGTTTTTGGCCGCAGGAAGCAGGGACAGTGCCACAGGGTGGGGGCCAGCACAGATCCCCCTCCCACTGGCCAGGGCATGCTGCAGGGCTCAGCGAGCAGCTCGCTTGGCGCAGCTCCGCCACGGTCAGAACCACACACAGCTGCGTCCTTCCCCTTAATTCAGGCACTGCGATGGCTTCAGGGTCTAGATGAGCACATGGGAGCCCCCGTCCAGCGATGAGGGGGAAGGGAGGAGATGGCTCCCAGCCTGGCGCCTGAACTGCCGTCTGAAGAAATGCCTGCCTTGGTGCTAGGAAGAGGCTATGGCTCGCACGCCACGCAGCTGCTCAAACCAGAACCGTTCTCCCAGCAAGCCAGGAGCGCCCTGTCACCTCGGCTGCAGCACCTGCGCCCATGTACCAAAGCATGAAAGGATGGCATGTGCTGTGGAAGCGGCTCCCCGTCCCCGCGCCCTCCCCGCCCTCCCGCCGCGATGCGAAGCACACGCTATGGCAGGCAGATGATAGTATGACACAGACTTACATCCAGCGAGGGCTCCGGCATGTCGGGTGCTCCCTGTCCACCAGCCTGACCCTCTAAGGCTGAGGAGGGATTAAAGGTCAGGTCACTGTGTGGATGGTTGCTAGAAGCGGCCGGGGGCGGCTGCCGGGACTGCTGGGTAGGAGGCCCGCTGTGATGTAATGGCTGCCCTGACTGGCTGCTGGGGTGAGGGACGTGCAAACCTTGCTGCATGGAAGTATGGGACTGATCAGTGCTGCCGGGATGAGGGATCTGCGGAGGAGGAAAAAAGCAGGAAAAGAAAGTGAGGCCACAAGGTACAGTGCTCGCGGTGCCTGACTCTGTAACCGCATGTTACAAAAAGAAATAACTAAATTAAAAAAAGACACACACAACAAAAAAAACCAAATAACCCAAAAAAAACCCAAAAAAGAAATAAAAAAGCGCAATCCAAAAAGAAAACTCCATATCCCAATGCCGGAGGAAGTCTTTCAGCTTTTTGAAGGTTATCTGCAAGGGGGAGATAAACACATTGGATTTGTGCTGTTGGTTTGCTTCCTTGTGATGTGGGAAACTGCACTTGAAGATGCAAAATAACGAACCCCAAAGAGTAGGGAAGGAGCCTTCTGGGTGCTGCTCAGCATTAGCAAGGCAGATGCTTTTGCCCTAAAAAATTCCATGAATGAATGGAGAATTTGTTGAATAACAATTCCCCCAGGAAACCGATTAACCGAGAAAATGCATCGTTTCTGCTCAGCTCCCTTATTGGGTAGCTTCCTGACACCGCTGCCTATTTGTGTTTCAGCTCATTACAAACATCTTGCAAACACCAGCCCTTCCCCACTCCTCCCCCTCCTTTTCTTTTCAGAATGCAACACCCCTTTTAAGGGCTGAAGATTTTCCTCGCTGATATTCATGGGTTCTGATGGCTGACAAAAACCCCAAGTCGGCTCAGCTAGCGAGCTCCCCACCCAGCAGCAGAGCTGCTGTAGGTGGCTGCGTACCCTGCTGACTGCGAGGTACAATGCATTAGCATAAACTCAGCTAATGATCACACTCCTGTTTTGTATTCATGCCGTGGCTAAGTTCGCTAGCAAAAGCTTACTATTTTTTATGTTTTCTTCTGTGGGGAATAAACTAACAAACCACATGCATCTTCCAAACCCTATTAAGGAAGAATGGGGGAAAAGCCTTTCTCACATGACAGAGAAGCAACAAAAATGCACAAGCCCAATTCTTCTTTCTGCTGCATGTCACATTTCATGCCAGTGGATTCTTTGGGGCTTGACCTTGGTGCCAAGAGAAAGAAGTGTCTGAATGCTTCAGAATCAGATGTCTCACGTTAATTGGGTATATGGAGAAGCAAAAAATGTAAACATTTTTTGAGGAATGCTACATATTGCCACAAAGTGGAGCTGAAATAAAAGAACAGATACATACAACAACAGCATGAAATTCATCCAGCCAAGCCAAGAGAAACCAGCAAAATGCTATGTCAGCATTGACCCTTTCATATCACAGTAAACCGCAAGGTTAAAATAACCTTAGTCTTCAGTTTTGGAAGGCAAAAGGGAGGTTATTACAAAACTTAATTAAAATGTTCCCACAAAATTAAAAAAAAATTACAGAAACAAGCATTTAAAAAAAATACATTTCACCACTCTTATGAAAACTGAACACCTGAATACTGATCCGTTGGGACAGTCATAGTCAGCTACATGGAGGTCCTTTTCAATACTCTGGTAGTATGAAGGTTGGTGGAAACGAGCAGGATTCTATCTGCTACACCGCATTTGGGCCTCTTTCCCATATGAGAGTTTAAAGTAACTGTTAGAAAGTACTGATACACACTCTTCTCTCCATTAGGGTCACGGTTTGACTACTTGAAAAGTATTCTGCAACGTTATTGTTGTTACCTTAGGGGTAAACTTGTACAAAATCTGCCCACAGACCACACCTTAATGTAAACGAATCTGCAGCCTAAAAACTTTGCAAAAGTCCAAGTGAAAGTAGATGTCTGTCCAAATAGTACTGTTTCCTTCTTCATTCATTGAGGACACGGGCAACAGAAAGTGTGGAAATTAAGAAAGCTTAATAATAACAAAAAGTAAAAAGCAATTTAAGACAGCGTTGCTGAAGTGGGAAAGCAGTTTCCGGAAAAAAACAGAACAAAACAGGATTATCTTGAATAGTCTCTTAAATTTATCCCTGAATGCACAAAGCAAGAGTCATACTGGCATGTTTATATCAATAATTATTTAAACCAAGAGGCATTCATACGTTCTCAGACATATTTCAAAACAAATAAGCAGGTTAGATATTCTACATTATGTTTATATAGGCAAGCATTTCATATACATAAATATTTAGTTGATAAGGCAGTATCTTGGGCCCTGAAATAACTGTTGGATAGGGCGTAATTGTTCGTTGTAAGACTGAGGGCCACCATAATCTTAAACGGTCATCGCAGGTTCAAAATCCATCTGACTTGGGCCACAGACTCCACCAGCCTACCTGTGAGAAAGCAAAATGCTCAGGACTTCCAACAGTTCTCTATCTGCATGCAGCTAACTAATGATAAATTTGCCATGGTACAAAAACATTCTAAGCAACATACTTTGCGTACGTTCAGCTTGCATCTGCAACTCCCATCATTTTATTTTAAAAACACTAACCCGCAACTCCCATCATTTTATTTTAAAAACACTAACCCACACTATGAACGTCGAGTCTAACAAAGTTGCCTTTGCTTACATAGCAAGGTAATTCCAGAGTTGTTTTTAGGAACGTAAACTTTGGCACCCTTAAAACATTTACAATCTATAAAAGAAAAGCTTATAGCAGACACAACTACATCTTCAGCTTAATAGCACCAAACAACACAACTTTTTATGAGCCCAACGATGACCTCTAGGAGTGCCGAGATGTATAGCTGTAGAGCAACGGGACCTGCCAGCTGCAGAACAATATTCCTTTCATCTCAGGAGAAAATTGACAGTGGAAAAAAAAGATCAGCAGGTTAAGTCGATGGTCTATCTCTCTCCATTCCCAGGGTCGCAGTTTTACCAACTTTTTTGCTGGGCTAGCTGGCAAAACCACTGAAAGACGCCATTCTGCCCTGCTGCTGTTCTCGGCCACTTCTCCCATCCATGCCTTTGTCATTGGGTGCGTCCTTGCAGACATGCAGTGAACTCAACTGGGGAACTGACATGGATCAAAGCTAAACTTCCCCCCCCCCCCAAATTAGTTTTCAATCACATCAGTACCAGATCCAGATCACTTCATGGCTGCAATAACACGTGCTGGTGTGAGAGAGAGGAAAAGTGAAAATAGACACAAGGGCAATGGCTTTTTACAGCGGCACCAGCTCGTATCATCTCACCGTGTATATGAAACTACGGCGTGATCATCCATTGCTCAGTCATGTACCACTCCTTACGCTGTCTGCGATAAGCACTAAGCTAGAGCTAACTCTGAATTCACCTTTGTCTAAAACTTGTTTACAATTTCTGAAAACAAACATGATGCGACTGTGGCAGCTATTTTGTAGCAATCTTGCACTGACATAGGAGCATCCGTTCTATAGTTCTTGCAACACTTTACACTGGGGAACAGGTATTACATCTAGCTACATTTCAGGTCTTGATTCTTCTCTTCTACAGGAGCGGAACAGCAGTGTTGAGAGAAGGTAGCTCTGACGATCCAGCCCTGCCTACATCGGGCAAACACATCTGCATTTCCTGAGTGACCTACGGAGTATGTCTGGAAGGATCAACTTTCTCTGCCTACCACTATGTAAGGGCTACCACATAAATCTTCATAATAGGGTAATTAGGAACTTCCTCAGCAGTATTCAGCTCCAGTTAGAGACAGACCTCGGGTCTAAAAAGGACCAAACATCTGATCCTGACTCACCTTGTAAACACGAAACGGTCAAAGTGAATAGTAGATGGAAACAAAATACACCTTAAATGTGTAAAAAGGAAAGACAGAAAGCCAGACAAGAGCCCAGGCAACATCTTAAAACCTTAGTTTAATTATGCAATGTGATTTATAGTTATTTTCGTACAGAGATGTCTGTCCAAAGACATTCAGCTACACAATTTAGGAATGTGTTAATGGCATGCATTTCTCTCAAAGCAGTAATTTTAAAGCTGCCTTTCCTTAGTGTCTGCTACAGACAAACAGTTCATTTTTGAGCGAGCAGAAAGGAAGAAGGAGAAAAAAGAGAGAAAGAGGAAAGCAGAGATTTTATAATACTGGAAAAGCTGTGTGGGAGCACTAACAGTCCTCAAATGTGGCCAGAAGACTACGTGGCTACGTCGACAAGGTCAATCTAGTTCCCTTGTGCTAATAGACCTGAAAACTGATCCTCATTAGAGAAAATCAGGCATCGACATAAACTAGGTGGAACCTGCTTTAGCACCGCTTCCCCTTCCCAAACAGTATAGCTTGCGTATCATGGTACATGAGGGAGAAGTAAGGCAAAGGTTTACTTTAATTGCCAGCTATCATAAGCAAGTATCAGATTTGCTACAGACTGGCCCACAGAACCAAAAATCTATTAACATTTGCCCAAATACCCTCTTACAGCTCTGGAACATGCATAGCCTTGAGCAACTTTCACCTTTGCTATCATCTGTAAGTAGTCCCATTTTCAGAAAGCCACAGATTCTTCACTTTCATATTCAACCACTTCGTATCCTACCACTTCAGAAATTTCACTGGGGCAACTACTATAGCAAAGGTATAGCAAGTTATCTGACGAAGTCAAGCCGTAGGTGTCACGTAATGGGAGGCAAAGAATAATTCCCCGTGGCTTTGATTCAAAGGAAAGCAGCTGCGAGTGGTTCAGGTTGGCAGTATTTCCCCTCACTACTATATTCTAATACTGTATGGTTGGTTCTGATGCAGGTAATTCAGACTGCTCTCTAAGCTGGGTATGTGGAATTTGCCAATGTAAAATTAAGTTTACAACAGCGTGTTTGTTCTGTTCTTTATTAGCCTGTAAAGTGGTAAAGTTGTTACAGTTTCTGGACTCTTCCTTTGCAGACAGTCTTGTTACTTGGGCTCTCTCCAAGCTATACTAAGAACACTCTCTCCACTCTCTTCCTATTTCTCACCATCCTCCTTGGAAAACCCACTGCCAGCTACAGGACACATTGACTGAGTAGGCTTTTGCTGAGCATCTGCTACCACATTTCCTCATTACCTTCTGAAATTGTATTTTCTAGTATTCACTAAAGACATGGCACAGATGACTTGCCAAGTTAAACATCCTTCCTGTGCAGTACCAGAACACTATAAAGCCCCTGCCCTGTAACTTAAATGAACATAAAAGGATGTATACACACATTCTGCCCCCCACCCCCCACCCCCCACACACACACATCAAC